GATTTGCGTTGCGTGCATGCTCGTCAATCGTCATCGTCAGTTCGCCACCCTGTAGGCTGTATGTGTGTGTGTGTGTGTGTTTGACCGTGTGATTAAATAAGGAGCTATCCAGACACCCAGTGTCAGGTATGATGGACACCGTGTGAAGTTGTGATGGTGCGAACTGTGAATCATGTGGCTACCGAGCTCTTGTTCACCCAATCTGTTATCTGTGTGTTCTATGCTGTAACAGTGTGCTGTTGGAGGAATATATCGTGGTTTGCTTGTGCATCTTTGAACATCTTTTTTTCCTTTTCATTTTACAGTAATTTGATGACAGCAAGTAGCAGTTCGCTCTGCTAAGACTACTAGATCACTTGATTTTAAGTAATATAAACCTTACAAGAATAGACGCATAATTTTTATACAGAGAGAAAACCATATGGATTTCGGTAATGCCAGAAACAGTTGTCCGTTCGCGCCGGACACCGCTGCCGGTGGACCCTAACGTCCAAAAGACTATCATATTCGTTCGTTCCTATCCCCTTCCCCTCGGGTCACCGCAGTGCATCGCCGCAACCGCGCTCCACGACCACTGCGCCTCCCGCACGCCTTCCTCTCCACCGTTGTCGAGCTTGCACTGCCGCGGCCGCGGCATGCTCCCCCCCACCCACCCACCCGACTTGTTGCCCTCCACCACGGCACCGCTTCATTTGAAGCAGTCTGATCGTTCACCGAGGGCCATACGGCCGCCCACCCATTGCCATCCTCGTTACGCACACCGTGGCGGCAAGACAAATGATCCGATCTCTCTTCACCGCTTGCCAAGTTTTGCTGAAAGCGCATGTTGCAAGCGTATGTTTCAAGTGTTTCAGATGTTTCAAAGATATGTTGCAAGCGTTTCAGATGGATGTTGCGAAAGTAGATCGGGATGTTGCAATGGTTGCACACGTATGTTTCAAGTGTATGTTTCAAGTGTTTTATCTGGTCCAGACGTATGTTATAAATATTTTATTTGGATGTTGTAAAAGTAGATCTAGATGTTGCATATACATGCATGTTGCAAGCATATGTTTTAAGTGCTTTTAGGTATTTCATATATATGTTTGCAAGTGTTTCATCTGAATGTTATATATATTTACAATGGTTTTCAAATGTTTTTTCAAGTGTTTTTGCAAGTGTTTCATACGCTTATTTTAAGTGTTTTATTTATCTTTTCTTTATATTACATTTAGATGTTTTAAAAATAGATCGAATGTTACGTAGGATAAGTGTGGGAAGCCCCGGCATCGATCGCGCACGACGTTTGGGGCAGCGCGGGCGACGTCCGAGACGACGCAGGCCCTTGGTGCGCTTGCTCACGCCCGACATGCTAGACGCTCACTTTTTTTTTTTTATGCGGGCAAGACGCTAGCCGATCCGGGGGCGCTAGCAAGTCCGCGTAGATTTTGCTGTAAAGATGCGATTTCTCACAAATGTCTACCAAAAATCATCCAGAATAGACCTGAAATAACATAAAGTTGGGCTACTTATCTACTGGGCTTCACGTGTGAGGCCCATAACGGCCCGGCTCAATCCGCATGTCCAGTACACCAGGTGACACCGATACAATTATGCAACTAGTAAAAAGAAGGAAATAAAGAGGAAAATTGGATCTCGCCTCCTCTCCCTTTCCTCCAAAACCCTAGCGTTCTTGTTCCCCGGGCGGCGGCGGCGGCGGCCATGGACAAGAGCATGCTGGGCGACCTGGACAGCCTCCCCGAGGAGGACAAGTTGCGCATGGCCGCCATGGTCGACCAGCTCCAGATCCGCGACAGGTTCGGGCCATACGAACGCATCCCTGATATTTTTCCGGTTTGCTTGGCGCCTAGTCGCTGCTAAAAGTGAAATCTGCATCGTCGTGGCCTCTGTTTTTAAGTGTTCTTTAGCGGCGCCTAGTTGAGATTGTGTGGGCGCTGAGCGCCTGTTGCTCCGACGAGCTGAATTTGGAAGCCTGAAATGGGGTTTGGGGAAGCCGTCGAAAATTGAAGTGATTGGCGCAGCGCACTGATGCGGCGCATTGTAACAGAAGCGTTTTGACTGTAGGTGTCCACTAAATTTATGTGATTTTGTGCCTTGCGCGTCCCAAATCATGCGAATCAGTTTCGTGAATTCTTTCGTTGATTGAAATTTAAGCATGATTTTCAGACGTTTGGCTCTGTATGACTATGAGAAGCTGCTCAGTGATAAATAGTTAGTTTGTTCGAGTGTAATGGGATCAGAAAAGGAATTGAACGATCGTGGTTGAGAAATTAGATATGTTCTTAGCTAGTCCTATGAATGCCAAGTGCTTTAGTTAGATTCAGGAATCACATGGTGCCAACCTATCACGTGAATTCATACCCAGAATTTTTAAGCTTGAAATTTTTTTCAGGAGTCGCTAATCATAGCGACTCCTGTGGTAACCAAGGATCCTGTGGGTCAAAATTTACAGTTTCGATGCTTGCCTGCATCTCTTTTGCTGTTTGTAATGTCTGGTATGTAGGTTCTAGGTATTGAGCTATTTGTATGCTAAGTTCTGCCTTATTGGATCTGTTGGTCAGTGGTTCTAGTCCTTTAATTTTGTGGTTCACAACTGTTGCATTTGAATTGCCGATTGGTTAATTGTAGTCTATAGCATTGGAAAGGGATAACTCTAGTTCAAGGTGATGATGCTGGAGCAAGAAATGCAAGTGTTGTTGTTATCCTGTTGCTTCAGAGTAGGGCTCGAATTCACAACGTGAAGCTATTCAACAGCATGAACAAATAAGGATGCAATTATGGAACAGAATAATATTTCCCAGTTGAATCAATGAATGATCCTTGAATCCTTGATTGTAGCAAATACTTTAATGCCTGACTTAATTGTAAGTGGTGTTTCCTCAAATTTGATGTTTACCTTTTGTCTAACTCAACACTCCTGCAAATACTGTAATGCTTAACTTACAAGTGGTATTTCCTCATAAATTTGATTCTTTTTCCTTTTGTCTAACTCAAAACTCTTGCAAATAATATAATGCTTAACATATTTTCAAATGGGGTTTCCTCGAAAATATAATTTTATCTTTTTGTCTAATTATTAAAAACTCCTTCAAATGCCTGAGAAGTGAGAACTCATTGGTTCTTCACTCCTTTCACAACTTTGCTCTATCACTTTGCAGTCTAAGAATGTACAATTCCCTGGTGGAGAGGTGCTTCACAGACTGTGTGGACACGTTCCGCCGCAAGACCCTGGACAAACAAGAGGAGTCATGTGTCCGCCGCTGCGCCGAGAAGTTCCTGAAGCACTCCATGAGGGTTGGTATGAGATTTGCTGAGCTTAACCAGGGCGTGGCCACGCCTGACTAATCGCGAGGGTTTCATTGCCCCTGCCAAGTATCTAACCTTGGGGATTTTGTCAGCACCAATTTGCAGTAGTCCTAAAAGTATTTTAGCACTTTCTGAGATATGCAGCCAAGTTAGGTTGCTCTTATATCGAATTGAATAAAATTAAATTACCGTGAATCATTGTATCCATGGGTACATGCTGCGTATTGTTGTTAATTATGTATCCATTGATCGGTTGCCAAGAAGTGTCTGTTGCATACTCAAGCCAGCAGTTTTTTTGAGCCACATGAAGTGCATACTATTGCTGCTATGTTCAGATATTCTTTGTCGTGTAGACATCATGTTACAAGATCTGTAAAGGCACCTTTCTTCATGCCGTCTCTTGAGACATCTGCTTTCTTTGACAGCAAAGAATGCAGGACCATTGCACATGAGCTCATCATGCCATGAACTGATGCACTTTTTTTTTTTTTGAAACAAATGAACTGATGCACTTGGAATTGGAATTTAAGAAGCCCGAAAGGGAGCTGGATCCAGCACATGTGTCTACACAAGATTTCGGTCCGGGATGGCGTACGTTTTGACTGTCGGATCACGCTGCTGATGGCTTTAGATCAAGCTGCCTACCCAAGCAGCTGGAGGTTAAAGATGGTTGGGGGAGTTTGGACATGATCAGCTTGGCATTTCGTGGTTTGGAGCTTGTCCATGGGCACCTCGGCCACCTTGTTGTGCCCACCACCTGCTGCGCTCTCCCCAAGTTGTCCGTGTTGTTTTCTCATGTGGGACAGACAGATGTGGGTACAGAGGCGCCGTGGTGCCATGGAGAAGCAGCGTGCGAAGGTGCAGGACGGCAGATCGGGCTGCATAGCATGTCGGTGCTGTAGCACTGTAGCCTAACCTGCTGAAGCCGCACGGTGTCGATGCGTCAGCCGTCAGTACTTGTTTGGGGCCAGCATCATACGTCGTCATGATGTGTACAGGGAGCAGCATCTTGAGCTCTCTTTACTTCTTTTGGCTCTTTGATTGATCACTAGTGTTGGCATCAAGAATGAGAGGCTGTCATAAACTAGATCCCATTCCCATGGCTGTAAATTAATTACAGCTCATCTTGAAGCAATGATAGGAGTTCAGTTCAGTTCAGTGTGTCCGATGATGCTCCCCAGCAAAATTCAGCTCTGATGAGGTTTGCTGCCAGTGTTGTTCGTAATCAGGGAGAATCAACTGAACAGTCCTATGGGTTGGTCCTTTATCGTGATCCACTGAAGACAGTAGACAGACAATGAAATTCATGAACTGAATTTTGACAAATTGTCTACAAATGAAACTCTTTGCTCGCGAAGCATGAAAACTAGGCACACTCATTATCTCTTTAACTGAAACGCGAAGCTAAGGATGAGCTTGTCTTGTCACTCCCCTCTTCTGAAGAGAAAAATGCTAACTATGACTGGGTTTCCTATCAGCATCTTATTAGCAGTGAAACTTCCACGGCATCTTCAAATGCGAATGAACAATCTCACAGCAGAGAACCAAGGAATTGCACAACAAACACCGATCTCAATCCAAAAAGAAACTGCCACATTCAGAAACAATGCACACACCGCAAGGAAACAAAAAGAAAAAGAAAGGATCCTATTCACAGTTCAATCACAAGCCGCCGCCGAAATCAAGCGCGTCCATCAATGCACGACGCCCACCTGCGCGGCGGCGGCGGCGGCGACGTCGATGCTCCTCTGTCCCGGGAGCGCGAGCATGGCGGTGTGGTCGAGGAAGTCCTTGAGCCTGGCGACGGCCTCGACGACGGCACGGAGCTCGTCAGCGCGCGCGAACCCGCGCGCGCCGGCGGTGCGGACGGCGTAGACGTAGAAGGTGACGCAGCCCTTGCGGAACTTGAAGCGCGCCATCTCGGGGTTTCCCGGGGCCGCGCGGATGAGGCGGCGGCCGACGTCGCCGAGCGGGACGACGCCCGGCCAGGCGGCGTCCGCGGCGGCCTTCATGGCGGCGGACTCGAAGACGAACACGGCGGCCTTGGAGTTCTTGGTGCCCAGGCCCAGGGTGAGCGTGTGCCACGCGTGGTGCGCCAGGATGGCGAAGTTGGTCGGGATGTAGGCCGTCGTCGTCGGAGCTAATGACAGAGCGTCCGTGGTGGCGTTGCCGGCGCCGGTGGGGAGGGGTGGGGAGGGCGTGGCGCGGAGGAGGTGCGGGAGCTCCAGCGGCGCGGCGCGGCGCACGGTGAGCGCCCGCGTGACGAGCTGCGCGCCGAAGCGGAGGCCCTTGACGTCCGCGCACGGCGCGAAGTGCGTGTCCAGCGTCCCCGGCGTGACCGCGGCGGCGCTGCTGGACTTGGACTTCTTGGACGCCGCCCCGCCGGCCCCGTCGTGGCTGCTCTTGGACTTCGACTTGGACTTGCTCTTGGAGGACTTGGGCTCCGCCATTGTCGACAGTAGCGGCGGCTGTGCTACTCGTGCTCTGTTGCGGAGGGACACAGGGAGTGGTGGCTCGGAGTCGGAGCTTGAAGGCGTCAAGAAGACAGGGTAGAGGGAACAGGGCAGCTGGAAGAAGGTGGGGTTGGTCAGAGCAGTTAAGGGAGATGAGAGCGCGCGCGCAACTACGCAAGGTTCGTCACTTCCTGTCCATATTTTTATCCCTCAATTTTTCTATGAACATACAGTATTTTGATTTTTACTACTTTTGTATTGTCGTTGTCGCCTATGAATACTTTTGAGGAATCACAATTGTGTGCAGGGGAAAAAAGGTTTATGAAGATTCCAGCTGCAGGACAGACATCACCTTTCATTTTCATTTTTCTTCATCTCCTAAGAATCTGCATCGGTTCGCTTGATCATTTCTGTGGCTTATAAGTTGGCTGATGCTGTTTGGTTGCGAGAGAAAACACTGTATCATAACTGATAAACATGACTGATACGATTAAGCGAACAATGTGCTGGACTTGTTCCTGTTGCAGCATGCCCTACAATTGGTGATTGGTTGATGGATTCTGAAATTTTCATTTTTCTTCCTCCATCTCCGAAGAATCTGAACTTGTTCGTGTTGGTGATTGGTTGATGGGTTCTCAAATTTCCTGTCGCTGTACCAGTATCTGTCTACACTAAAGCTTCCCAGTACCCAGCCAATCTGATGCCTGTAGCCTCACAGTCTCACGACTCGGCTTCATTAATCATTACAACTCAAATTAATCTGAGCCATGTTCGCTTGGCTCGATAAGTTATGACTGAAAGTACTGTTGGCTGATTTGTTGTCAGAGAAAAATTAACTGAAAAAATATAGCTTATAAGCAAGACGCTGATTGATGATCACATCCTGATTTCTACAGGTTGTGACTGAACTGAACTACCACTAGTAGACATGTATATACCGTACCTGCACTGCACCCAGATCTGGGGCATGCAGGTTTGGAGGAGCAATACACTGCATAAAGATAAAAAGAAATGCAATCTTTTTCCTGCAGCCTGCAGGCAGGCAGCAGGATAGGATCGATCGAGCTGGTATGGTAATCAAGCAGAGCAGCACTGTCTATCTGAATATATTCAGATAGACGTCCAAGAAGTAATACTACAGCACGCCCGTGGCTGCGTCGCGCTAATCAGTGCCGCCTCATGTGCAGCAGGGCCTGTGCCATGTGCCGCTGCTGCCCTTCCCTTCCCTTCCCCTGTTGTGCCTCTCTGCCTTCATGACTTCATGTGACGAGACGAGCTAGCGCAGCCCCGTGCCTATAACGCATATCACTGCAGGATTATGCATTTATCTTATGCATGGAGATGACAGCCGTGTGGTGTCACATCACATCATGGTTCTGATGATGATCAGTTGCATTGCAGATGGTGGCCCGCTTCTTCAGTTGCAGTTTATTACTGTATATGTTCCTAGGTTCAGAGTGGGCGCGTTCTTGACAGCAGAAAATTAACCCTGGCCTAGTCTGTAAAGTGCGTACTCTAGTAGGCTACACAGCTTCCTCTCGCAGTAGCAGCAACAACTTAACACAGCAAAGCCGGTAGCATTAGGGAAGGTAGAGCTGAGTCCTATTGAATTGAATTTAGTTGAACCTCTATAATAGGATAGGCATAGAAAGTCGACGTCTTTGGCTTTGTTTTTTTTGTCGTTGAGAAGAAAATGGTATGAAACTACAAGATTCTAAATTCTAATGTTGCGAATTTGTTGGCTATCGGTCCACTCAAGATGCATCGCCACGGCCAACGGATACCTGTCGACCAAAGCAAATATGGCCTGTCCTGACCCTAAGCCCCCCCCCCTTGATCCGCTACTCCAGCCGCCGGATCTGCTTCCTCCCCACAGGGGTGTGCTTTCGGGGTCGACTTAGGGCTCTCCTTGCCCACGCCATCCCCAGCCGGCGCTCCTCCCGGCATCGCCCTCGCCATAGCGAGCTTGTCAGCGCCTCTTCCCCACGCATGCGTGTCCTTGCCGTGGAGTAGCGCCCGCTCCAGGCTTGACACCGCTTGCCTCGTCGCGCTTGGCTATTGCTATGGTCGTCCCATGGGGTTAGGAGTGTTGGCATCAGCCAGTCTCAAGTCATCGCATGGCCCTGGGTGGCTATTGCTTCTACTTGAGCTAGGGTTTGCTTGCGCCCTGGGTGGCCAGATTTGCCCCTTTGGTGGTGGATCCACGTTTGGTGCTGGTACGTGTAGTGGTCTGGAAGTGGGTTGGGTGCTAGGTGAAAGCTTTGCTATGAGGCCGATGATGGCGACGCCCTTTGGGCGCCGTTTTCCTCCATGGAGGCATCTGTCGATGCACCTTGCTATCCTCCTATCATGGATCTTCTGGGTGAAAACCTGATCCCTGTTGGGGGCAGTGGTGGCGCTGCCTGTGTCATCATCCTCCTTGGAGGCGTTGCCTTTGAAGTTCCCTTGCCACGGCGCTCAGGGGCGGCCTTCCCCCTCCCTCGGTGTTGCATGTGGTTGTCATTGCCGCTTGTGGTCATGCCGCGTCCTTCGTCTGGCTATGGAGCTATTTGTTGTGCCTGTGCACACTTCTTATTCTTCAACACTTGTGTTTGTCCTACAATGTGGTTGCTTCTCATGTGGATGCTTTGTCGCTTCCTTTGTCGTTTCTCCGGCGGATACTTTGCCACTGGCGTTCGGTTAATCTTTTCCAGTAGATGCTTTCCGGCCAATATTGCAGGTTCTCATTGAGTGGATTCTTTGCCGCTGCAGTTTTGCTGGTTGCTTTGCCGCCCTTGTCCGGCTTTCGTAGCGGATACTTTACCGCTACCGTTCGTCTCCGGTGGATATTTGGCCGCCGCAATCTCTGCCCTAGTAGATGCTTTGCCACTGTCATCGTGCCGACTTCCTTGGCGGATGCTTTGCCACCGAGGTCGCTTTGGTCCTTTCTCCGGTGGATGCTTTGCCGCCATTGCCATTGGAAGCTCGTCTCGTCTTCTCTAGGTGGATGCTTCACCACCACGGTTTCACAGCTCCGTAGGCTACCACTGTGCTGATGTCTTTTTTATCATAGGTTCAGTTTGTTAGAGTGTTGAGGCTGAGGGTCCTTTCCCTTTTGACTCGTGTTTTTGGGAATTCTGTGGTAATCCTAGGATTAGTTGCGAGCCCTTTTCTCTTTTGCCACTTTTTTACCCCTCTTTAACCGTTGCTTTTTATTCCTTTTTTCCTGAGTTGTTTGTTGGCGTTGCTCCTTCCAATTCACAAGGTAACAATGGAAGACTACATCCATAAACTGACAAGTAAATTGGAGCACAAACTCATATATTCCCGATCCTGGAATAAAAGGTACGAAGCATTTAAAATTTATCCTAAATTATAATGCATTCTAGATGTATTAACTCTCTATTTGGAGGATTACATGTGTCATTTGCATTACTTATAATTTGTCATAAACTTCCTAGAGTACCTTATACTTTAGGAAAGAGGGAGTAGGTACTAAGTACTTCCTCCATTCTATATTATAAGTCGCTTTGACTTTTTTAGTATATTGATTTTGCTATGTTTCTAGACATACGTAGATATATAGCAAAATTGATGTACCCAAAAAGTCTAAATAACTTATAATTTGGAACGAAGGGAATAGTACACTATTTAAAACATCATATTGAAACATAACACAACCTCCAAGTAAATATTCCTAGTTTGAGTACTGGTACTGATGTCAGCGCCACTCTTCCCCAAATCCTTCACATGAGTTCATCCACACGACCCCCCACCCCACACACAATCCCATACTCTTTCGTGTAGAAGTTGATCTCCACCATGAGAGGAGAAGAGGATGCCATCAAGGTACTTCACCCATGTCACACCGTCGGGTGTCGCCGCTGCCGCCGCCAGAAGACAAATTGGTGCACATCGAGGCTCCCTATCGTTCGTGTCCAGCAACAGTTTGCATCACTCGGCACACGCCACCGCTGACTAGGATATGCACACCGAGGCATTGGCCGTTGCCGCCGCCTACACGAAGATAACCTGGCAGCGCACATCAAGGCCGCCTATTGGGCGTGTTGTCAGCCACGAGGCTCACCACCCATCTGCTCACACCCTGATCTGGTAGCAACGACCACAAGGTAATCCATCCAACCATCTCTTAATTAAGTGTCATCACCGTCACAATAGAGAAGCAGTAAAAGCTTTGCTTCGCCCACTACTACAGTAAGCATTTGTAGGGGTGGCTGGCGATGGTTTGTAGAGGCGGTTTTGCCAGCCGCCCCTACCACACCGTCTCTACAAATCAAGGGTTTGTAGGGGCGGTTCCTAAGCCGCCTCTACAAATCGATTTGTAGAGGCGGCTTGTGTCACCAGCCGCCCCTACAAATACAGTTGTAGGGATGGTTGGTAACACCGGCCGCCTCTACAAAAATAATTTGTAGGGGCGGTTGCAACACCAGCCGCCCCTATAAATCCTATTTGTAGGGGCGGTTCACTCTATAACCGCCCCTATAGTATATTTTCACACAAATTTTTTTTGAAAATTGAAAATTTAAATATGACCAGAACATACACACACATATATATAATATAATTCACAAGGACATTATATCAACAACTAAATGACAAGAAGATATATGCATTACAAACCCATAATAATTTAAATTACTTCATTACAAACCCATTCATTACAAACACATAATAATTTAAATTTGTTTATTACAAACCATAATAATTTAGACCAGTTCATTATTACAACTAACAGTAATTTAACTTTCTAGAATTTTCTAACATCTTACCACGTACTCGGAGAAGTGCAGATCATTCATTTCATATGCCAAAATGTCACTGATGTAGTACAATGTATTTACTAGTGCACTCTCCCTTGCTTCACAAGATCGTTTACAAGGTCTACTGATGACGATCAGCATTGGTCGAGAACCTTCACTTCTAGTCACAAGAATTTTTACCTGGATTCCCTCTGAAGTGAGAACAGGGCCACCATATTCCTATTTATAATGACCCAA